CATTTGTTATTGTTAATGTCACAGCGTTACACTGTTTCAGAACACTGCTTACTCAGCAATTGTCTGAGTAACACTAACAGGCGGCGAACCAGCAGCATAGCACAGTCGGTCTACCAGCTGTCTGGATGGCATTGTAAGGGCAACCCTGGAGACTCCGACGAAAGCCTAGCAGGGGAGGATCCAAGACGTGAATAAAAGCTACAGGAAATACACGGAGGGACCGACCTAGCAGGGGAGGATCCAAAGAGAAGAAACTCTAAGGGTCTGCCTGCTAGGGCGCCAACTATATACTGGTCGTCCGTAACTGCCGACGTAGAGCGCAGAAAGCCTGAGCTGAGCGGCGTTGCAGGCTCTGTCCCAAGGTGATCGTTGGGAGGGTCTTGACGGATCAGTGATTGTGCGGGCGAAGGAGGCCGAGGACGAGGGTTGGGGTAGGTCGGAGCGTCCGAGGGGGCGCCGGTCGGATGTGCCTCGGATGCGCTCGGATGGTCTGAAGGAGGCCGAAGTGGGGGTTCCCCTGACAGGCATATGACTATGGTCAGGCCCAGTTTCAATGGGCCTTGAAGTTAACTTGAGCTTAGGTTGGACTTGCACCAACTCCAAGCCTCAAGACTGGTCTGGTGTGATGCGTGACATCAGGTATCAAAAGCTTTGGCTTGGGCTAGCACCGTCACGTGGGGGAGTTCAATGTTGAGTCGTGGTGATTATTTACTTGCTTGCTTGCTTGGTGTGTGTGGGGGAGCTGGGGGGAGGGAATACTGACCCATTTCGATCAATTCAGCGGGCCTGTGACCCGTGACCGTTTGGCCGAAATGTCCAATTCGGCCACAGGCCGAATTTCGCGTGACCTATTACCCGATTGGGAAGTTCGGCGCGCCGCCGAAAAATTTCGAAATCTTCCCGATTAGGACAGTTTGGGACCAAAAGATTTGGCTGTGACCCGTGACCCGCCGAAATATTTCGGCCAAAAAATCCGATGTGACCGTGACCCGCCTAATTGAATGAAATAGGTCAGTATCCTACACTGATCTGGAAGTCGCAGGTATTGGCCCTTGTTGCGTCACTGCCTCCGCGTCTTCCGTCCACACTTAAAGGGCTCAGTGTGATGGGAAGGTCATCCCGGCAGTCCGACGCGGACACAGTGATTGCCGAACGCGAACTTCGCGGTGCCCGACCCCGACAGGCTGCTGGCGCAGTTGCGCTCACGCTGCCCGTCAATGCATCATATCATGATTGAGGTTCCGCTCCTGCAGCTGAGGTATTAGACCATGCCCATATGCACATCTCTTTGTAAAAATCCACGAGGCTCTTCAGTGCTGATCTCAGTGGATCACTGGGCATTGGAGTGAAGGAGACAGATGATGGTGTCCGACTCGGACACAGACAGGCTACGTGTGGAGCTAGCTCCGCCGCTGGTATCTGTCGCCGCACGCGGGGACCATTGATGCATCCACACATTAATTTGGCAATTAAGCAGCTCAAGGCACATAAGACGCTCTCCCGGGGCTAACGAACAGCGTCCCTGGCAGGAGACGAGATGCAGGACCCGGGACCAGTCCGGTGCCCCACCGGCGTCAACAAAACGGTACGCAGGTGGGTCCCCATCCGCGACGCACCTGCCGGCGGGCTGAGGAGTGCGCCGCGCCCGCCCGGGCGGCATGTCCGTGATCCCGCAGAACATGGGGCCGCGGGATAGATGCTTGAGGGTCGAATGCAGATGCAGTATGGTGGAACACACTGTCGGTTGATCAGTGCTTTCAGAAGACCGATAAGGTGGAAGAGCACACTGAGCATTGGAGAAGTATACAGTGCGGCTTCTCCGAGGTCAATCTGCTGCGCGCATCATTTGGAGGCGCTAATGGACAGCGTTGTTGCCCACGGGCTGCATCGCATGAATACCGGTGCAGAGTGGAGGAATAAAGATAGCGCACTGCTTGCGCAAACAGCCCATGTCCGTGTTGTTGCTCCACCGCTCCAGAACATCTTGATGAAGACGCCAATGACGTCAGGGCAGCTCGAACACGCCTCCGAGTTAGGATGCTCTTCAGCGGCGCGTCGTCGAGTTGATGTCGATGCGCCGGTCGGCAGCAAGGTGGGAGCGGCCGCGCGATAGCATCCGGCCCGGCCACAGTTGGGCATAAGCCAACCGCAAGCGCGGCGGCCACCAATCCGCGGAATCGAGTAGCCTGGCAGGCGCCTAGTGTGATATTGTGTCAGGTGTACGGATTATCCTCCATAGCGCTGAGGCGGATGGCAAGCAGCACCACGGGGCACGATCGTCTCCGGATGGCCAGCGCGCAGACCCGTTAGCGTGAGCTTTCAAGTTGCGTCGACGTTTGATTTGCCAAGTCCGGACCCACAGAGTCGGAATCGATGCGCCGGTGTAAGTCCTGTGTTAGCAATTTCGTCTCAGCGGAGAGTCTCAATACAGATTTAGACTCTCGAATAAGTTGGCATCCAGAGAAGGAGTTGTTGGGGCATGTGTATCGGCTAGTGTTGCGTAGATCTGCCCCTGAGGCTGGCATTTTGCATCGAGACGAGTTAATTCGTGTCCTCGACAGTGCTGTTGCACACACGCTGCATAGTTATTAGTATAAATACCGGACCGGAGTGGAGGAACAAATCCGAAGATGACCACTCTCCAGCGGCAGGTCCATATGCTGGAAGATGATGATCATTGTCGATGTGCGCAAGATGGTGCTGACCGAGTTGGGCGTCAGGAAGCTGAGGTGGCTGCGGCGCGGGCATCAAAGGACTGCCAGTGGTTGGGCACAAGCCAAGGTCCAAGCTTGCAGCGCGGAGGAGAATCCAGTATGGCCCAGACCACATTTTGCATACACCGGGCAGCGGTCCAAGTTCGGTTGGGAAATCCGAGGCAGTTGCTAGTATTCCTGCTCGGGTAGAGCATACGGTCGATTTGATGACTGGTGTCTGAAGACAGAGAATAAGCTAGGATAAGAGTGGGCTTGTAAAAAAGGTGCGCTCGGTCAGTGATGTCGGGAAAGCGAGGACAGCGTAACACGCCAGGCAAAGATCTCCAGCAGCACAGTGTCGCCACAGATTTAGACTCCCGGAGAAGTTGGCGACTGGAGAAGGGGTGGTTGGCGCATGCGTATCGGTTAGTGTTGCCGTAGCATTGCGCCAGCTGGCGCCGCAGGTGTGCTGCAAAGGCTGGCATTGTGCGTCGAGATGGGCGTCAGGAACAAAAAGGGAGGCGATTGCGTAAGATGTGACTGGGCGATCACATCATGATTAGCTCCGCGCCGGGCACGCCGATTGGCTGGGCACACGTGTGCGCTGTCAATATGTGGCAGCGCTTTCCTCTCTTCACTTCCAGCTTGGCTGCAACTGGTCGCTCCATGTTTCCGAACGAACTCTTTCACGAAGTGCTCAAAGATGTGTCGCCCGCCCAGCTCAAGCTCGTCGCTCTTGCTTCTCGTCGCCTGCGCCTGCTTGCCCGCCCATTCCTCTACAGCAAGCTTGCCGTGAAGCCATATGCGCCCCGGGGAGGAGCGCATTGCCTGGTCAGGCGGCGCCATCCTTAAGCTCCCACCTGCTCATGAGGTGGTGGATGCCATCGCAAAACTGGCCTTCTTCATGTCCCCCGCCATTGCGCCGTATGTGCACTGCATCAATGTCGCCTGGGAGGAAGTGAATGGCTTCGCCGAAAGAAGCAGAGACGCAGTATTCAACGATGTAGCCGGCACGCACACCATCTGTGACGTGCTATTCGCCGGCATCTCCAAGTTCGTTAACCTACGCAAATTCTATGGCCACAGTCTCATATTCACGCTCTCTGCGCTCGCCAACCTTGCGCAGGTCCGCGGCCCGATTGAGCTGGATCTCTTTGCCTGTTCTGTGGACTCCGAGATCCAGGCATTCCTTCGTGCCGCTATTAACGCACTCGACATCCGTATCCGTGTCTCAAGCGTCAAAGTCGCCACCTCGGCAGCATACAGTCCCACGTGCACGCTCTCAGAATGGTTCGCTCTTTGAGCCCATCACACTCTCCGCGGTCAGCCTGGACATGGATCAACCAGTGGAAGGGCTTACGAGTGTGCTACCTCACGTAAAACACCTGGCGCTTAGACTCTCCGAGGGCTGCGGGCGTGTTGCTAACCTACTCTGGCTGTGTGCAGCTGCAAGCGGCCTTTCCCGCAGTTGAGCAGCTTAGTGTCGAGGCGGCACTCTATGTGGACGATCCGGGGCTGCCGTGGGATGGCCCTAACGGCGGCGAACCGTTGTTTCCCGCTGTATTCAAGCTCACGACCACGTATGAAGCCAGTGAAGCTTTACCCCTCCTCCTGCGGATTGCACCGTCTATCCACACATTGCATGTCGAAAACGCTGATGCCACAAGCTTAGTGTCCGTGCTGCAGCGCAATAGGCAGTGCATCCCCGTGACAATCACGACACTCACCCTCGAATGCGACTCGGAGGACGGCGATCTTGCCGTGTGGGGCGCGGTCTTTGCACATTTTCCGCACCTGCATACCCTCGACTTCACCGTAACGATGCTGTCCGGACGCGTGCCCGCCGTAAGTGAATGTCTCCTAAGTGTCGTCATCCGAACTGTGCCCATACCCTACTCAATACTATCACAGCCTGCCGCCTTCCTCACGGGCTTCCCGGCTAGTCTTCCCTTGGGTTTGCAGCGGCTCGAAGTCAAGTACTCGGACACGAGTATGTTCTCTCGCCGTGGGCCCCGGAGCGGTTCCTCGTCCGACACCTTGGTGATGCAGACAGGACAAGTGCTACGGAGGCAGCTGCTTCGCCGTTGCCCCAATCTGAGCTGGATTTCGATACTTGCACCACCCTTCCATCTCAACCTCCAGTGGACAAAGGACGCATAATCATGATATAGACACATACGAATTGAGCACACCAGATCACAAAAGATATTCAATATTGATAAACGAGAGAATGAGTGGCATTTGTATTCTTCCTTACTTGAGCTGATCTTGTGGTCAAAGGAAAGATAGGGGTGATATTGCACCGAGTCAAAGGATGCCCTGATCCAGCGGCGGGCGACCATACGTCTCCTACACCAACATCATTAGTGCATTATCCACCTCATCATTGGATAGAGAAATACGCACCGGCTCCTGCGGGTGGTTACCCAACACAGCCTCGATCCGCGCCAACACCGCAGCATCCAGCTTGGGCAGGACCTCAAGCGCGCCGAGGTTCGCCTCGAGCTGTGCGACGGAGGACACGCCGAGGATGACTGTGGAAGTGTGGCGGTGCGCCGCAACCCACGCGAGCGCCAGCGGTTCCGCCCAGAGTTCAGCAAGTCGGGGAGAAACGACGCACCCCGCAGCAATTTGGCTGAGGAGACGCACTTTCCAAAGCAGCTCTTCGCCCTGGGGACCCTCCGTCGCCCCGCGGAACATGGGCACGGTGGCGAAGCGCGTGCCGTCTGGGATGCCGTCGTTGTACTAGCAAAGTTAGTTTACGTGTTAGAGGGTTGAGGAGGATATACCTTCCCCGTCAGCAGTCCGCCCTGCAGTGCAGAGAATGCGGTTGTGCCCAGGCCGTACTTGGCGTACAAAGGGCTACAAAGTCAGCATTAGCTACTGCTGAAGTTTGATGGTTGCCCACGCCACGCGTATTCCTTCTCCGGACGTTCGCGGTGGAACATGCTATCGTCTCCTCAGCATTATTTCGAAGGAAGAAAGAAGATGGCGCAGACTTGTGCTTGCACTGCTCCGCGATCGGCGCGATGAGGTTTAAGCGCGTGGCAACATCTGTGCTGCGGGTAAGCGACGGGAGGTCTCGGGAGAGGTACACGCTCACGATGCGCCTCCTCGATCTGGTGCGCTCCACTCGGAGGTGCCCCAGTAGAAAGCCTGCGTGTGAATCTTAGTGGATATGGATAGACAAAATCCACCACTCACCCAGCCCTGGTCGATAACATAGTTAAATGCGCGGACGATCTCCTCCATCGGAACTAGCCTGCGTCAGTTGACCTCCTTATGGCGAATGTAAGAAACCCACCGGTGGTATCGCAACGATGCGCGAAGATGACGTCGACATAGTCCATCTGGAGCCGTCGCAAACAAGCCTTCGTGCCCTCGATAACGCTGTTGCCAGTCAGAGTTGTAGGAAGGAAAGGAAGGTGGCGCACTGTTTGTGCGACAGCCCCGTGTCGTTCGGGCCCGTGCCTGGCTCGTGGCTCCAGAATATCTTGGTTGAGATGACGAGGTCCGTGCGGCGCCAGCCAAGTTCTTTGATAGCGTGTCCCCTGATTTTGCTGGAGTCAGAGAAAGCGTGGTCAGAAGGGAATCTCAGGGAACGCACATTTCGCTCAGCCGCACCTTTCTGGTAGTCCTCCGCGGTGTCGAACATGTTGATCCCATTCTCGAAGGCGGCCTGCATGATGTCCTTGACGCTCTCGCCGACGACGGAGCCTCCGAGGGTGAGCCCTGTCGAGAGCTCAGCTAAAGCCAATGGGGAATGCGCAAAGACGGACAGCCGCCGAGAGAGAAGAGCGGCACGCGCAGACCGCTGGGGCCCAACCGGCGGAAGGGCATCGCTTTTGCGTCGAAGACGGGGACTGGAGAGGACATGGGGGCAGGTGGAGAGGAGTGGAATGGGAATCGATTGCAGCGTCGGCGAACGGGCCGGTGGTGTCTGCGGAAGGCGGAGCGCCGTCGGTGGGGGGCAGTAGACCTATTAGTGAAATGAGCGATTGGCTCTGCGTGATGAGCAAGACATGGGTAACGCACCGTGAAAAACTTGAACACGCCGTAGCGACTATCAGGACCCAGTTACGCGGACGAAATAGCACACGCACCTTGTCCCCCCCGGTTGTGCCCTGCTGCTTGCCATCCGGGCCGTCCGCGGCTGATTTCACGCCGCTTGTTTCCGCCCAGTAGAGGCCGCCACCCTGGGTGTCAGACTCGCCAGCGAAAAGTGAGGGATTACTGGGGAGTAGATCAGCGAAATAGAGACTGAATGCACAACACGCACCTCAAGCCACGCCAAATCGACCGTCGCAGCCCATCCCTGCTCCTACTCGCGCTGTGGCTCAAGCATAGCATTCGTGCCGCGCTCCGACCAGGGGCGGGACCGTCTCCCGCGCGCACATGGAAGGAGAAGACAAGGCGTGGCTGCTTACGTGGCACTGGCGATCGGCATCAGGTCCGGGCTCGGCGGCCGTGACATCAATCTCTGGTTTCTTTCCTCCGCTCCACGACGACGATGCGCTTGCCGACGATACCTAGCGCACCCTGCGGGCCACCCGCACACGAACGACAATCCGAGGCCCAATTTCTCTGGTGCATTTCTACTCCAGACATCGCCCTGCTCGTTCTCATAACTCGGGCCGGCAGTGCGTCCAGGACTATGGTCGAATGCCACTCCCCGTGCTCGTCAGCTTTCTTGCTCCACCCGCTTTGCGCCGCGCCGCGCCGTTGCTAGCCGTTGCTGCGCTGCATCTACAAGTTTGCCCCCCCCACGGCTCTTCCTTCGCCTTAGAAATCCAGCCCTCGGGCCCGGTCCATATATCCCCTGGTGTGTAGCTCCGGTCGCGGTTCGCCTCGCGGACCGGCTCTTCTTGCGCGACACGCCAACGACACTGGCCCGCGCTTTTGCTTCCTTGCCGCCAGTATCTTGACGCCCACGACAATTGTACTTAACGCGCTGAATCTACGGATCCTCTAGTTTGTCGTCCACTCAACGTGCACTTACCAGCAAGCTCTTCCGCACTGAGCTGTCCCCCGCCGCATGACTGTGTTTTCGGCAACGGTCATTTGATGCTTGTCATATCTATTCGACAACATGCTGGAATGCCCTGTCGTCTTACCAATCAAAGAAATATTATCGAGTTAGGCATGCACGAGTCCAAACACATGTCCGAGTCGGCAATAGATTCAATCGCTGGTCCACTGCAAGTCCAGGAATGACCCACGGATAACTATCTGCCGTGAGACCGCCACACCCTTTCAGTAGTTCTGCCTGGAGCTCATCCGCGCTTGGAAGACGGCTCAATCCCACTCTTCCCGTTTGCCCCCGGGAAGGACAGCCCTTGAGGACCAAATATGGACACGGAGACTTTCGAGAGTGGGCGGAAGGATGGTCGATAGGCTGGCGAGGAAGTGAGGGGCCTGGAGAACGGTGTTGATAGGATCAAGGCCGCAGATAACAGGACAGAATTCACCTCGCTTGGCCGAGAATCACCGCTGGACTCTTTGACACGGAAATCGAGGGTGCGCAGGTTCGGGAAGAAGGCAAGGATCCCGGACCAAAGGGAGTAATTGCCATTATCCGACTGCAATGCTACGTTAGTTATCGTGGGCGGAATATACCTCTCGATGCGCTGGAGCGTAAACAGCAGTCTCCCGGCAGCTTCATTCCAAATCTTCAGTTTGTTCACAAATGGTGTGCATGGGAGAACTGCAGGCAACACTTTGCAGGCTGTGGTCAGCTCGCGCACACACGGAAGCACACAAGCTGGCTCGCTCGCGGCCATCTCTGTGTTATAAGGCCCATCGATGACCTGAACGCACAGCTGTTCGAGTCCCGGGAAGTGCGCGGCAGCTGCTCGATGCCAGAGTGGGTTAACACCAATGAATTCTGGATCCGCAATACAAGATGTCGCACCCCCTGGAACACGACATCTTGGCGCGACAACCTGGCAAGGCTGAGCAGACGCTTGTCAATGCACCAAGTGAACTTGACCAGCATGGCAAGATCGAGGATGTGAATCCATGACCAGAGATCCCCTTCTGGCTCCGAATCTCCAATCGCAAATCGGAAAACCAACTCAGAGACGGGAAGTCGGATATCGAGTGCACAGGAAGCTGCAGGAAACGCACCAGCGGCACCACTCTTCCACCACATCATTCTCTCGTCCCCGGCCGCTCGCTCACTCCTGAACTAGGCTTGACGGAGCAACGCCCTTGCACGAACAGTATATACCACCAGCCACGGTATGGCTTGCCAAAGCGGTCCCCACCCGGGCCGTCGCGGGTCAGGAGAACATCTGTCCAATGAGCCCAGGACCCTGCGCGGAGCGGAGCTAGCGGGGAACGACCCCGAGCGAGTCGAGCGGGGCATCAGGACGGTGCAGGCCTTCGCGTTGAGGGTTAGGGTCACGCTGGCAGACGGCCTTCTTCGCGGTGGGTCCCTCCGCTGTGTCGGCTGTGCGTGCGCGGGACTTATCTGCGGAGGTGTAGCTGAGCAAGCGGCACCACCCCGACGTGCCCGGCCACCAGTCGACGCCGGCGTTCCACGAGGTTGCGGAGGCGTATAATGTCCTTCGACGCCGGCGTTCCACGAGGTTGCGGAGGCGTATAATGTCCTGCGGGACGCGGTACTAGGTGTGCCGCATACGGTTGATTTCGTGTGCTTCACAGAACTGAGGAGACTGTGACAGACGCGCATATGACAACACGCTTCCGTGTGAGAAGTGGACGCACTTGAAGGCACTGATAACTTGGAGGATTCCGATTCAATAGTTTACAGAATATTTTCCACTAGAAGGACTACCAATCATTGTCATATTTCCCTGGGGCGCCCGCTGAGCGACGCTCCGCAAGCATTTTATCCACGCGCTCCCAGAACCCCGCACTAGTCGCGCCGCCTGTCCACTCATCCTGCCACTCCGGCCAGCCGATCCCCTGGTGGACCAGGAGGCACGCAGGGTGCTCTATGAGGCGTTCGTCGAGCGGCACCTTCCCAACGCGCTGGTAGGACAGGACGAATACATTCAACCGCCGATGTGGATCCGACAGCACGTCCAGCAACATGTCGGCGGTGGGGGTCCCTCTGCAGAATGTCGTGGTACCACTCCTTTGTATCGATGGCGAGATGCGTCAGCGCACGAAGCGCCAGAAGCGGCGGCCAGACTTGCGGCCAGCGTGGTGGAGAACGACAGGTGGAGGTGTGTGATGCGCGTGAGCGCGGAGAGGTCGGGAGATGCGGTCATCATGTAGAGCGAGAGCAGGTTCGTGGTGAGCCGCCGGAGGTTGGGCAGAGTTCCGAGCACGTCTGCCGTGCTAAATATGAGACCACGCGGTAGAATGACAACATCTTGGAGGTGGGGGCAGGAGTTCAGAATACTGTTAGTCTCAGACGAGGAGTCTCTCCGTCGAGACGCAGACCGGTCGACTGCGCGATGAATGCCTGCCGGCGGGGGGTCTTCGATGAGCGCCCTGAAGGCAGACGGCGACAAGACTGGGAATGGTGTATTGAGAGTCGGACCAGCCTCCGGATCCCGAAGACTCAAGACGTTGTACAGCAGCGGCTCCACACTGGCGGCCACAGCTGGTCAGCGAGAGAAACGGACCAAAGTACGCATTGCCGGACGCACCACTCTTTCACCCACCACGCTACGCGCATCAACACTGGGATGCCCCGCGGCCGCTGCAGCGCCGCCTCGCGGAAGATGTGCAGCTCGATCTCGCGGGGGAAGGGCGGGTCGTCCATGAGAGTGAGAAGCAAGATGCGGGGATGAGTCAGCTGGCGACCGCGGGAATCAATCAACTGGAAGCGCCAGTGTTCCGCAAAATGCTGTATAACATCGCTGCAAGTGCCTACCAGCGAAAGACGCGACGCCGATGCGGGACAACGCTGTTGGCAGCCAGATGCCAGCGCATAGTGGACGACGCAGAGGATCGGTCGAATAACGGCGACTGCACCATTCTTGGGGGGAAAATTGGCAATATGTTGATTAGTAGTGCACGGATACAACAACGTCTATTACACTGACAATGGGTGAGCCCCAATTACTAGTATCAAGTGCACAACACACCTTGTCCCTCTGCACACGACAACCATGAGACCCGCCGAGACGGGTCAAGGAAGATAAAAAATTGTGCCACGACGACGGACAAATACGATGTACAAGGAGCCGCGTGCGCTGGCGCCCACCCGCCAGCCACATTTTATTTTTGAAGCGCCTGATCCCATGTCCATCCTGCCTCGAAAGCAGGCTGTTCCTTCCTCGACACCAGCGCGGGCCACCGAGGGCAGAATCGCAAGGTCGGCTCAGACCGTGTGGGGGGAAAGTGGGCGGAAAAGAAGGGCGATGACCCGTGTTTGGCGGGCGGCGCACGGACCATGCTGATGCACGTGCACAGGGAGCCATCAAATTCATGTCCGTGGACACGTTGGCCGTGAAGGTTTTTGGGCACCATTGTAGTCCTTTGAGCGCAGAATGCTGCACTGTGTCCTCCGATACCCGACTGTATTAAGCTGGAGAAGGAGCTTGAGAGCAAGACCTGTCTTTCAAGTTGAGCGCAGTGGCTTGGCATCCCAGTCGGCTGTCACACGCTCAGTGACGCTCTCACGCGGCAACCATTTCTCTCCTAACAACCGTGTTGCCCAACGAGCTCCTCCTCGACGTCTTCCGACGAGCGTCAAGGGATGACCTGCACAATGTCGCCCGTGCATCGCGGCGCTTCTGCTCTTTGGCTCGCACACTCCTACTCACCAACCTCTCGTTCCTGCCCTATACCTTTGACGACGGAGCAAACGCAGCAGTTGGAGGATAAACTGGGACTGTTTGGGTCGAATAGCGTGGGCTGTACGTCAAGTGCATCTCTGTCAACCTGCTTAGCTGCTACTCTGGGTATTCGTACAAATTCAGCGATGTCAGGTTCAGCGACGAGGACGAGATTCATTCTATGCTCCATAGCGTACTCACGACACTCCCCCGCCGGCAATCTTCGCTACTTCAAGGCTGAACAGATAGAATTCACGACCGCGGCGCTTGGTGCGCTCGCCCAGCTACAATCACTCGAGACATTGTTCCTCATCAACTGTGCAATCCCCCCTTCTCTCGCCAGCTCTATGTTCCTCCAGAAAATATCCATCAGCAGCTTGAT